CATGCGAGCTCACCCAATCCGGCCCGTCAGCCAGTGTTTTGCACCCTCGCCCTCACTCCGGCGGGTTGTTGGGTTTTCCCAGCTCCCTGCCCACGGCCCGTCCTTGCTGTGGTTGGCTGCAATGGGATGGCTTGTTCGCATGGTTGCCATCGTGCAGTTGCTTGTCACGACAGCGGGCGCTAAGGCGTGGTTGGGCTGTGGCGTGGCCTCACGGGCCACGGCACAGCCCGCCCTGCTGGTTGCTGTGGGATGGTGTGTTGGCCTGGTGCCGGTTGCTATGGCGCAGTTCATCATCTGTCTCCATGGAATGGCTCATTGTCGCCGGGAGCGGGTTGCCATGGAGCTGGTTGCCATGGCACAGTCTCTCAGCTGTGCAGTGCCAGTTGCCATGGCCTGGCTGGACGTTGTTGCACGGCGGGTTGCTATGGTGTGGTTGCCATGCGGTGCCCCCCCTCCCAGCTCCCTTCCCGTGGTTAGAGGCCCTGAGGCTGCAGTGCCCCAGCCCAGCAGGAGATCATCAGGGTGGTTGATGGCCCAGGGCCATGGCTCTTGTGTGCCCTGCTAGGGGAAAGCACAGGGCAGGAGTTGGGGAGACAGGCTGGGTGTGGCAGGGCTGCCCCCTGGGGGGGGAGGGGGCGCGGAGGACCCAGACCCTTGGCTCCTGACACTGGTGCTGTGCCCCTGCCTGGCTGAGTGATGTTGAGCAAGTCCCTGTGCCTCAGTTTCCCTTCCCATCCCCTGCTTGTACACAGCGCAATGCTCAGGGAGTGTTACGCTCTGCTGAGGGGCAGTGTGAACTTGGGCACAAAGGGGGGGATGGGTGAGCGGGCTCGGGGGCGCTAGTGCCTTGGGGGGGAGGGGGCGGGCGCTGGGGAATTTCCCAGACCTGCCAGTCTGGGAACAGGTGTTGCTCGCTCCCTTGGAGTGCCGAATGGAGCTGGGGGGTTCCTTGAGGCTGGTGATGCCCTGACTGTCCTAACGCCCTCTCTCTGTCTGCAGGGCATTGAGGATGCCAGCAAGGACAAGTAAGCGTGCCCGGCCCCGGGGGGGGGCTATGTTGGGGCTGGGGCT